ACACTACCACCACCACCACATTACCACTACACTACCACCACACACCCCTGCTGCTGCCTGCTCCTGCCTCCTGCTGCCGTGACAGAGCAGGTCACGCCTCCCTGCTGCTGCTGCCGTGGCAGAGCAGGTCACGCCTCCCTGCTGCTGCTGCCGTGGCAGAGGGAGGAGTAGGGAGGCGGAGGCGGGCGGGGGGCGGGGGGCTTCCCGTCACAATCAGGGAGGCCATTAACAGATTATCTCAGCCACTCCAGACAAAGTTTGCAGCTGGCTGCAGAGACACGCCCCCTTCATCCCTTTCTTACCCTCTCCTAGCGTCCCTGCCCCCCCTTCCCCTCCCCCCGGGGTCACTCACCTCCATGTACTCACCTGGAGGAGCTTGCAGGGTCGAGCTAAGCTCCTAGCCCCGCCTTCCGAACAGTCTTAAATTAATGTAATGACTCATTTCTCTCGCTTTTATCAAATTTACCCCTAAAAAATGTAATCGAATTAGCTTGACTTCTACATCTAATCTGTTCTATTTATTGACATCTCTAACATATTTTAGATATCACTCTAACACGGCGATATTTTGTCTGGTCCCACGGCTTTTGCCACATCCCAAACCTGCACACAGAAATAACATCACATGAGACCAGAAGACATGGCAGGATGTGCAGAATACCCCCGTTGAAAAACAGAGGTGCAACTAGTACTCTGAGAGAGAACTCTATCAACATCAGAGGTCCGAGACTGTTCAACACGCTTCCACTACACATAAGGGGCATAACTGGCCGACCCCTCGCAGTGTTCAAGAGAGAACTGGATAAGCACCTCCAAAGGATACCTGATCAACCAGGCTGTGACTCGTACGTCAGGCTGCGAGCAGCCGCGTCCAACAGCCTGGTTGATCAGTCCAGCAACCAGGAGGCCTGGTCGACGACCGGGCCGCGGGGACGCTAAGCCCCGGAAGCACCTCAAGGTAACCTCAAGGTAGGTAACATCCAGTTGTAGGCGATGAGTCACAATAACGTGGCTAAAGTTTGTTGACCAGACCACACACTAGAAGGTGAAGGGACGACGACGTTTCGGTCCGTCTTGGACCATTCTCAAGTCGATTGTCCCTCCCTCACAATCGACTTGAGAATGGTCCAGGACGGACCGGAACGTCGTCGTCCCTTGACCTTCTCCAATGTGAAGGTGAAAGGACACCTGTCACCCCTCCAATGTGTTCCAGTTTCCAGAACAACCTCTTTTGTGGAACTCTGTCGAAAGCCTTTTTTAGGTCCAGATAGATGCAGTCAACCCAACCATATCTTTCCTATAAAATCTCTGACTAGATCATAAAAAAGTGAGTAAATTTGTTACACAGGAATTTCTAGATAGAAAACCATACTGACGGTCTGATATTATATCGTTTGTCTCCAGGTGTTCGACCCATTTAGTTTTAATTATTTTTCCAATATTTTGACTAATACACTTGTCAATGATACAGGTCAATAACTGAGGTGGTCTTCTCTGCTGCCACTTTTGTAGATTGGAACTATGTTAGCTTTTTTTCCACACATCTGCTACGACTCCTGTACACATGCCTGAAAAATCAGGTGAAGTGGAATGCTGAGCTCAGGTGCACTTTCTCTCAGAACCCATGGTGAAACTCCATCTGGGCCAACTGCTTTGTTCTTACTTAGCTTCTTGAGCATATTTTCCACTTCGTCTCTTGACACCTCTATGTTCCCTATATTGTTCTCTAGAATTCTTATTGGGTTCTCTAAAGATCTCCTTTTGTACAAACACACTTTGAAACTTTTCGTTTAAAGTTTCACACATTTCCTTTTCATTTTCCGTGAATCTGTTTCCCATTTTCAACGTCTGGAAATTATTCTGTCCCCAATGTCAGTTTCAATGTCCCCATTTTCTTCTAGATGATAATCTTAAAGCATATTTAATTTCTAACAGGACATGATCACTCTTTCCAAAGGCAGGAAGGTACTGGATGTCTTCTTCTTTCCTGGTGAATATTAGATCCGGTACTGATGGTACATTCCCTTCCCTCATTCTTGTGGCCTTATCTCGAGGTTATCTTGAGATGATTTCGGGGCTTTAGTGTCCCCGCGGCCCGGTCCTCGACCAGGCCTCCACCCCCAGGAAGCAGCCCGTGACAGCTGACTTACACCCAGGTACCTATTTACTGCTAGGTAACAGGGGCATAGGGTGAAAGAAACTTTGCCCATTGTTTCTCGCCGGCGCCTGGGATCGAACCCAGGACCACAGGATCACAAGTCCAGTGTGCTGTCCGCTCGGCCGACCGGCCAGCTTGATGTGTTGATGCAAGAATGTCTCCAGAAGGAGGTTTAAAATCTGCCTGTCCAAATGTCCTCTGTTCTTGCTTCATAGGTCTCCTAGTCTATTGCTTTAAAGTTGAAGTGACCCAGTATCAACAGTCGTGATTTATGCAGGCGATGAGTCACAATAACTTGGCTAAAGTAACGACAGCTCCACCTTGCAAGGCGACAGCTCCATCTTGCAAGGCGACAGCTCCATCTTGCAAGGCGACAGCTCCACCTTGCAAGACGACAACTCCACCTTGCAAGACGACAGCTCCATCTTGCAAGGCGACAGCTCCACCTTGCAAGGCGACAGCTCCATCTTGCAAGACGACAGCTCCACCTTGCAAGGCGACAACTCCACCTTGCAAGACGACAGCTCCACCTTGCAAGACGACAGCTCCACCTTACAAGACGACAACTCCACCTTACAAGCAAGACGACAGCTCCACCTTGCAAGACGACAGCTCCACCTTGCAAGACGACAGCTCCACCTTACTCTGAATCACTCAAAAACCTGTCACCAGGACAATACAATAATCAGTGCAACAGCACAACACCATTCTCACTGATTCACTGTTATAAAGCGGAGTTGTCTACAATTTCACTAGTTCACTAACAACTAGTTCGTTGTTGTTCACTAATAACAACACAACTCTAGGAATATTACTCACTTGATCGGTCAATATAAGCGGCGTCCCAGTTAAATACCAAACCTGCCAGGTGCCAGTGACCCGTGTAGAGTAATAATAATATTAAGCTTATATCAGCTTATCTGTATTATGCAGCGGATGGGAGGTGATTACAGCCACGGTAATGACTGGTCAATGTATCCTCTGGATGGGTTATCTTGTGGCTGGAGCTGCTCTAAGATATCGTGGCTCTTCTCGCTATCACTGGAGAGAGAGAAGCAAGGGCTGAAGAGTGCGGCCACCAGTTATCTTGAGACATCTCAGGCGGGGTCTTGATGACAGGCTGGAGAGACCAGGGTGGGCGGTGTGGGCGGCGAGGGCAGGGTGGGGGGGGTGTGGGCGGCGAGGGCAGGGTGGGGGTGTGGGCGGCGAGGGCAGGGTGGGGGTGTGTGGGACGAGGGCAGGGTGGGGGTGCGTGGGCGGCGAGGGCAGGGTGGGGGTGTGTGGGCGGCGAGGGCAGGGTGGAGGGTGTGGGCGGCGAGGGCAGGGTGGGGGTGTGGGCGGCAAGACCAGTGTGGGCGGTGTGGGCGACAAGACCAGTGTGGGCGGTGTGGGCGGCAAGACCAGTGTGGGCGGTGTGGGCGGCAAGACCAGTGTGGGCGGTGTGGGCGACAAGACCAGTGTGGGCGGTGTGGGCGGCAAGACCAGTGTGGGCGGTGTGGGCGTCAAGATCACCCACCAGTTAACTGTGGGATCAAACTAAGCACCCCAGTTGCATATTGCAGTTAATAATTAATTCTATCTCTAAAAAGTAATTGAGATCCAGTACATTATTAATGATTTTTCGATTGCATACTAATTCAATCATTAATTAATGACAACACAATAATAAATTGCTTTTTATATAATTCTTAATAAACATTTAATGGACTAATAATTTCTGATGATAATATTATGACTCACAAGATGAAGCAATACTTGTTTCTTTAATTATATCATACACATCTACTCTCTCGTTCTGATATCTATCTGTTCCCTCCGCCCTCATAACATAGTTCATGAAGTATTACGATAGATAATAAAACACTTTAACGTGATTAATACAATTTATACGAGAAAAAACAATGGTTATCACACGACCTAATTGCTGTAATTATTATACACCTGCAATGCGGATTTTTTTTAATGCGTGACTGTCGGATATCTTGACATATAACCCGTGGATATTTTCCCATAGTGTGAGTTTCCACACCTGCGCACTACACATGCAGGGGGGAGGGCAGCCTCCACACCTGCGCACTACACCAGGAGGAGTCAGCCACGATACCTGCGCACTAAACCTGCAGGGGTCAGCCTCCACACCTGCAAACTATACCTGCATGGGTCAGCCTCCACACCTGTGCACTACACCCGCAGAGATCAGCCTCCCCACTAAACCTCCAGAGGTCAGCCCCCACACCTGTGCACTACACCTACATCAGCCTCCACACCTGCGCACTACACCTGAAGACGTCAGCCTCCACACCAGCCTGCTAATGAGGGGTGGAGCCCCAAGCGTGGATGGCTGTGTATAACGATCCCACATGAGCGTGTGTAAAGAACGTTCATCCATTCATCAAACCCGGCTAGGATTTAATTATCCTAAAAGCTGTTTTGGTATGTTCCTAGGAGGAGGATGTGGATAAGGAGGAGGATGTGGATAAGGAGGAGGATGTAGATAAGGAGGATGTGGATAAGGAGGATGTGGATAAGGAGGATGTGGATAAAGAGGAGGATGTGGATAAAGAGGAGGATGTGGATAAAGAGGAGGATGTGGATAAGGAGGAGGATGTGGATAAGGAGGAGGATGTGGATAAGGAGGAGTGTAGGAAATTATACCCACTGTATCAATATTATTATCTAAGAAATATATTATTTTTATATCAGAATCATATTAGAATCACATCAGATGCATTATACATATCCTACATCAGATTCATAATACATATCCTACATCAACTAAATCCTACATGACAATGCTACCATGATCACGTATGCCATGGGGCCCATATGCACCTACGTGACATTATGCATGAATTCTCAAGGATTTTAAAGAGTCCACAAGAACCTGTTAATTAAAAAAACAATTGGAACATTAATTGACTTCTGATGATGGATAATACAAATCTGCTACCAGGAATCAATGGTACTATCAAGTACTACTTATAATCTTTAAATCCTATATCTAATTATATTTTAATCAAATTTTATCTCAATAATCTGTCTAGACATTAAAAATATTAAATCAATATTTCTTATTTCTATATATATATATATATATATATATATATATATATATATATATATATATATATATATATATATATATATATATATAGGTTAGGTTAGGTTAGCTACCTATATATATATATATATATATATATATAAAGTCTTGCTTGTAACGTATTGATCTCTGTTTATAAACTCACGATTTCGCGCTGAGGACCTGTGACATCATGTCACGACACCGGTGTCATCTTCCCTCCCCACAGTGTCACGTCGACACTGGGGAGAGTGTCACGTGATGTCATAAAACATCACTCTGTGATGTCTTGTAACTAATCTCCAATAACTCTCCCATTTGGTGTTCTGGGGTTCGATCCCCGCCCACCCTAACGACGTCGTTCGAATATCAGAATCTGTTCCCAATCATTGTAGCGTGTATACCAGGTGGAGATTGTTGCGTGTCGTTCCGCCGGCTCCAATCACCTTGTTAGCCCAATCCGTCCTCTTACGAACTACGTCGCTTATCCCTCGTATGCTCTACGCCCCCCCCCCCAAAAAAAAGCCGTAATTTTAAAATGAAAATTTATTGAAAATAAATTTTGCAATTTTTTTTCTTCAAAACAGCAAGTTAAGGATCTTCTGGCAGGTTAGGAGGGCAGGAGGAAGTTCTCCTTTCAAAACGTCATTAAAACCGTTAATTGAAAGTTTCCTCTGCTAACCTAACAGCCTAAGCCAGAGGACCCAAAACAGAAAACGGGACAATATGTCAATTTCGTGAGCCGATTTCATTTTAAATTACGTCGATTTCTAGTCTGAGTGCGCATACGCGTGCGCATACGAGCGTAAAGCGTCGTAATTTGTAAGAGGCCGGGTTGTTGAAGCCTCCCTGAAGTCCCCTCCCGCTGGCTATTGCCCGTCTAGGGTCGTCTGTTTCAGGCGTTGCCCGTCTAGGGTCGCCTGTTGCAGACGTCGCCCGTCTAGAGTCGTCTGTTGTGTGCGTTGCCCGTCTAGAGTCGTCTGTTGCAGGGGTCGCCCGTCTAGGTTCGTCAGTTGCAGGGGTTGCCCGTCTAGGGTCGTCTGTTGCAGACGTCGCCCGTCTAGGGTCGTCCATTGCAGGTGTTGCCCGTCTAGGGTCGTCTGTTGCAGACGTCGCCCGTCTAGGGTCGTCTGTTGCAGACGTTGCCCGTCTAGGGTCGTCTGTTGCAGATGTTGCCCGTCTAGGGTCGTCTGTTGCAAACGTTGCCCGTCTAGGGTCGTCCATTGCAGATGTTGCCCGTCTAGGGTCGTCTGTTGCAGGTGTTCTAGCCCGTCTAGGGTCGTCTGTTGCAGACGTTGCCCGTCTAGGGTCGTCTGTTGCAGATGTTGCCCGTCTAGGGTCGTCTGTTGCAGATGTTGCCCGTCTAGGGTCGTCTGTTGCAAACGTTGCCCGTCTAGGGTCGTCTGTTGCAGACGTTGCCCGTCTAGGGTCGTCTGTTGCAGGGGTCGCCCGTCTAGGGTCGTCAGTTGCAGGGGTTGCCCGTCTAGGGTCGTCTGTTGCAGACGTCGCCCGTCTAGGGTCGCCTGTTGCAGGCGTTGCCCGTCTAGGGTCGTCTGTTGCAGGCGTTGACCGTCCAGGGTCGTCTGTTGCAGGCGTTGCCCGTCTAGGGTCGTCCATTGCAGATGTTGCCCGTCTAGGGTCGTCTGTTGCAAACGTTGCCCGTCTAGGGTCGTCTGTTGCAGATGTTGCCCGTCTAGGGTCGTCTGTTGCAGACGTTGCCCGTCTAGGGTCGTCTTGTTGCAGATGTTGCCCGTCTAGGGTCGTCTGTTGCAGACGTTGCCCGTCTAGGGTCGTCTGTTGCAGGCGTCGACCGTCTAGGGTCGTCTGTTGCAGGCGTCGACCGTCTAGGGTCGTCTGTTGCAGGCGTCGACCGTCTAGGGTCGTCTGTTGCAGGCGTTGCCCGTCTATGGTCGTCTGTTGCAGGTGTTGCCCGTCTAGGGTCGTCTGTTGCAGGTGTTGCCCGTCTAGGGTCGTCTGTTGCAGGTGTTGCCCGTCTAGGGTCGTCTGTTGCAGGTGTTGCCCGTCTAGGGTCGTCTGTTGCAGGGGTTGCCCGTCTAGGGTCGTCTGTTGCAGGCGTTGCCCGTCTATGGTCGTCTGTTGCAGGTGTTGCCCGTCTAGGGTCGTCTGTTGCAGGTGTTGCCCGTCTAGGGTCGTCTGTTGCAGGTGTTGCCCGTCTAGGGTCGTCTGTTGCAGGTGTTGCCCGTCTAGGGTCGTCTGTTGCAGACGTCGCCCGTCTTGAGTCGTTGAATCATTCCATCCTCCATGAAAATAATGTTCTGCACGATTTAAGTGTTCATTCCATGACGATTCTACTTCCATCTACCTAAGCTAACCTGTTCCAAAATGACTCGGCCTACCTACCCCAGTCTACCTGTCCCAGCCTGCCTCGGGTTATTTCTTCCATCCACTGTCTCGGCCTATACCTGTCCCAGTCTGTCTTTACCTACCAGGCTCAGCCTACATGTTCCACCAAGCCTTATAGCCTACCTATCACAGCCTGCATCAGCTTGCCTGCCCCAGCCCCCCCTCAACCCCATGTGTTCCAGCCTGCCTCATCCACCCTCGGCCTGCATGCCAACCTCAGCACGCTGCAACGCTAACAGCATCATATCGTGGTGCAGCGGTGTCCTTCGTGTGCTCCTGGCCCTTCCTGAGCAGGAACACTCACGTCCCCACACACACGATATGCCTCTTTTTCTAAATTACTTTCTACCACCCGTACACGCCGCGCTGCTCTTCTCTAGCTGCCCTTCTCTGGCTGCCCTCTCTGGCTGCCCTCTCTGGCTGCCCACCGCGCTGCCATTCACCTATAGTCCCTGATGGCGGTGAATGTTTACACTACAGCGTCACGGTATAGCACAAGTTGAATACCAAGAATACTATAAAATTGTTCTCAAAAGAAACCCATGTAATTGTTTGTGTAAATTCATGATACTACCAACTTTTGTGGTCTTGGAAACATCAGTGAAAATATGATGCTATTTTCCGTTTATAGTAAAAACGTTCACATGTAAGTAATATTCGTCTTCTGCCATCTCATCAGTTCAATGTCTTTGTTTACATTGATGTCGTGATAAACTATATAAGAGGGTCAGTAGCTAAGATTTACTGAGACATCAATGTATCTCTAATACTGAGACACACACACACTGCTCCACCTTACCCATAATGCCCAGACCTGGTTCCTTACCCATAATGCCCAGACCTGGTTCCTTACCCATAATGCCCAGACCTGGTTCCTTACCTATAATGCCCAGAACTGGTTCCTTACCCATAATGCCCAGACCTGGTTCCTTACCCATAATGCCCAGACCTGGTTCCTTACCTATAATGCCCAGACCTGGTTCCTTACCTATAATGCCCAGAACTGGTTCCTTACCTATAATGCCCACAACTGGTTCCTTACCCATAATGCCCAGACCTGGTTCCTTACTAATAATGCCCAGACCTGGTTCCTTACACATATTGCCCAGACCTGGTTCTATCCCCTCGTAATACCCTGAACTCCTCATGTTTTTCGTAAGTAATATTAATATTCGTCTTCGAAGTAATATTCGTCTTCTGCCATCTCATCAGTTCAATGTCTTTGTTTACATTGATGTCGTGATAAACTATATAGGAGGGTCAGTAGCTAAGATTTACTGAGACTGAGACATCAATGTATCTCTAATACTGAGATACACACACACTGTGCTCTACCACACACACTGTGTTCCACCACACACACTGTGCTCTACCACACACACTGTGTTCTACCTTACCCATAATGCCTAGAACTGGTTCCTTACCCATAATGCCCAGACCTGGTTCCTTACCCATAATGCCCAGACCTGGTTCATTACCCATAATGCCCAGACCTGGTTCCTTACCCATAATGCCCAGACCTGGTTCCTTACCTATAATGCCCAGAACTGGTTCCTTACCCATAATGCCCAGACCTGGTTCCTTACCTATAATGCCCAGAACTGGTTCCTTACCCATAATGCCCACAACTGGTTCCTTACACATAATGCCCAGACCTGGTTCCTTACCCATAATGCCCAGACCTGGTTCCTTACCCATAATGCCCAGACCTGGTTCCTTACCCATAATGCCCAGACCTGGTTCCTTACCCATAATGCCCAGACCTGGTTCCTTACCCATAATGCCCAGACCTGGTTCCTTACCCATAATGCCCAGACCTGGTTCCTTACCTATAATGCCCAGAACTGGTTCCTTACCCATAATGCCCAGACCTGGTTCCTTACCCATAATGCCCAGACCTGGTTCCTTACCCATAATGCCCAGACCTGGTTCCTTACACATAATGCCCAGACCTGGTTCCTTACACATAATGCCCAGACCTGGTTCCTTACCTATAATGCCCAGACCTGGTTCCTTACCTATAATGCCCACAACTGGTTCCTTACCCATAATGCCCAGACCTGGTTCCTTACCCATAATGCCCAGACCTGGTTCCTTACCCATAATGCCCAGACCTGGTTCCTTACCCATAATGCCCAGACCTGGTTCCTTACCCATAATGCCCAGACCTGGTTCCTTACCCATAATGCCCAGACCTGGTTCTATCCCCTCGTAATACCCTGAACTCCTCATGTTTTTCTCGTGTGGACAAATGACCACTTATGCCAAGATATAATAAAGTATATTCAAGTTATTCATGGATTATTAAGATTTTATAGAAGAAAAAGAGACGTGGCCCATGCAGGAGCCACATGGTCCATATCTGATTGTCAGACCCAAGCCAAGCGATCCTGACACAGAGTCAGCCAGGGTCAGCCAGGGTCAGGCAGGGTCAGGTAAGGGTCAGCCAGAGTCAGCCAGAGTCAGCCAGAGTCAGCCAGAGTAAGTCGGAGTCACCCAGAGTCAGCGTAGTCAGCCAGAGTCAGCCAGGGTCAGGCAGGGTCAGGCAGGGTCAGCCAGAGTCAGCCAGAGTCAGCCAGAGTCAGCCAGAGTCAGCCAGAGTCAGCCAGAGTCAGTCGGAGTCACCCAGAGTCAGCGTAGTCAGCCAGAGTCAGCCTACATCCTCCATGACGTGACACCCAGACGTCATGACGTATCCTCCAAGACGTCAGTATGTTTCCTATCACAATACTTAATGAAAATTGCTTACATTATGGTAAGAGTGTAGAATAAATCATAAATAGTTAACTCTACCCAAATACATTTGGTAAACCGGTAGTATAGCTCCCCGAAGCCCTGTGTGTGTGTTGCTGGCTTTGCAAGGATGTAAAAATGCCAATATTACGTAATCTCACCAACAAATTGTACGTTGTAAATAAATCATTATTATTATTATTATGAATATATCCCGTGTTTAAAGAGAGCGTGCTACTGGGCCGGCCCTGGCCTAGCCAGTGGGGTCGGCCCTGGCCTAGCCAGTGGGGTCGGCCCTGGCCTAGCCAGTGGGGTCGGCCCTGGCCTAGCCAGTGGGGTCGGCCCTGGCCTAGCCAGTGGGGTCGGCCCTGGCCTGGCCAGTGGGGTCGGCCCTGGCCTAGCCAGTGGGGTCGGCCCTGGCCTAGCCAGTGGGGTCGGCCCTGGCCTGGCCAGTGGGGTCGGCCCTGGCCTAGCCAGTGGGGTCGGCCCTGGCCTAGCCAGTGGGGTCGGCCCTGGCCTAGCCAGTGGGGTCGGCCCTGGCCTAGCCAGTGGGGTCGGCCCTGGCCTAGCCAGTGGGGTCGGCCCTGGCCTAGCCAGTGGGGTCGGCCCTGGCCTAGCCAGTGGGGTCGGCCCTGGCCTAGCCAATGGGGTCGGCCCTGGCCTAGCCAGTGGGGTCGGCCCTGGCCTAGCCAGTGGGGTCGGCCCTGGCCTGGCCAGTGGGGTCACCACGGGCCAGGAACAGGGTGGAACACTTGAGTCACACAGGTGCCATTACAACAGGTGACGGAGCCACACAGGTGTCATTACAACAGGTGACGGAGCCACACAGGCGCCATTACAACAGGTGACGGAGTCACACAGGTGCCATTACAACAGGTGACGGAGTCACACAGGTGCCATTACAACAGGTGACGGAGCCACACAGGTGCCATTACAACAGGTGACGGAGCCACACAGGTGTTTACAACAGTTACGGAGCCACACGATTACAACAGGTGACGGAGCCACACAGGCGCCATTACAACAGGTGACGGAGCCACACAGATTACAACAGGTGAGAGCCACACAGGTGCCATTACTGCCATTACAACAGTGGAGCCACACAGGCGCCATTACAACAGGTGACGGAGCCACACAGGCGCCATTACAACAGGTGACGGAGCCACACAGGCGCCATTACAACAGGTTACGGAGCCACACAGGCGCCATTACAGCAGGTGACGGAGCCACACAGGCGCCATTACAACAGGTGACGGAGCCACACAGGCGCCATTACAACAGGTGACGGAGCCCCCGTCACCTGTTGAGTGGATTCTAGTAGTAAAAGATCTTTATACGCTCTCCAGGTCAGCAACTTCTCCAGCTCTGAATGGGGTTGTTAGTGTGCAACAATATTCCACCCTAGAGAGCACTGTTGGCTTGAAAAGTATCATCACAGGTATGGAGTCCCATGTTTGGAAGGCCCTTGTTATCCAACCTGTCATTTTTCTTGCAGTCGTGACAGCTGCGTTATTGCGTTC